AAGCCATGGAATACACTAAACCCTAAGCCCTAAAATCTTCAGCCCCAACGTCCCCAGGACATCGCCGACGCCGCGGCCGCGCTGAACAGGCGCCTCTGATGCCCATTTTGAGCCCAGGAGGTTTAGGGGTTTAGGGTCTAGGGTTTAGGGGAGTTTTTCCAGAAGTTGGGCTTGGCTGAAGGGCATCTTTATAGACAAGGGGATAGAAGGGCAGGGGAGGGGAGTGAGGGTGCGTCACCGAAGGCTGAAGCCACACGAGGATGTTGTTTCACAGATGCCGGTTGCCTGTACCATGGAAGACGACAGCCTTGCTTTTTTTATAGACCGCTCCTTTTCGGGGCCTTACTTGTGCAAAGAATCCTGGCTCTTAGGTTTCTGCAGGATTATCGCGTACCTTCTTAAGTCCCCTGTGCATGGGTAGTTCTCCAAATTAGGGCCCCCTTCAGGGTCTTGATTAGGGTCCCCTTCAGGGTCCTTTTTATGAAGGTGCTGTGCCATGTCGGGGACGTGTAAAGGGACCATATAGAACATTTTTAGTACCCTTATAAAAATCTAACAGAAACCTATACATAGATCCCCTTCAGGAACCCCTAAAACAGGACCCTACTTTGGAGAACTACCCATCTAGTGCCCGTATAGAAACTTTAGAGATCCCTTTCAGGAAGCCCTAAAAAATGGATCCCAATTTAGAGAACTACTCAGATACACTCTCAACCCAGAGCCCGCCCCAGTTCCAAAAGAGCGCAGGGCCCTCGATGAGGAGAACCGGATCTACAAGTTCGATCATGCCTCTTGGTGGGTATTGTGGGGATTCAGGATTCTTGAGGGTTTAGGGCTTAGGCTTTAAATCCTTTGGCGCTTCCGGCCTGGGTATCTGGGCTATGAAGGGACCACTGGACCAGCCTTTCGTACTGACTTGCTATTGATGTGACGACGATGCTGTTGCTGTCATCCTTGGCTCAGGAGCAGTCACTAACAGCATGCTTTCAGGCTTCGTTATCGCAATGGCTCGCACATACCTCGTTCCGACGATGTTGGTCGGGATTCGTTGCACGATTGCCAATATTAGGTCTGTCTCTTTGCTGAAGCGTAGTCTTATCACAGCAGCAGCTACAATACCGTCGTGTTTTGTCGCCCAAGCAGTAGCTGGCGAAGCATGCTACTGTCTTTGTTCGCTCCTCTGGATCGTCCACAACAACGAGCACGGCTGATCGCTGCAAAACTTGAGTATTGATCATGTCATCGGGGGCGAACATAACAGCATCGCTGCTGCCGCTGCTGCTGGTGCTGCTGACGATGGTGATTGTCACGACCGCGATGATTGCGGCATGGTGATGAGAATGCTGAGAAAGACCATGCCGTTGGTGATATGATGCGGTGCATGATGATGAGTTTGATGAGGAAAAAGAGAGGAGCGGATTTTCAACATCATGGTGATGACAATGATGAGGGATGATGATGATGATGGTGATGATGCTGGTGATGATGATGGATGGGTGATGATGAGTGATGATGATGGATGAAAATGACACTGATACTGATGAAGATGGTGGTGATGATGATGATGTTGATTGTTCATGATGGTGACGATGATGGATGATGATGGTGACGGTGATGAGCATCCTGATTGTAGCACCGGCAGGCCCGCGGTCGTGCGGAATTGTTCGCAGATTGCACGCGTCTTTGGCGTGTGCTCAAAATTATTATGCCCCGATGGTATTGTCACGGCCGTTCTTTCTAGGTTGACCTGATTGCAGCGCAAAGGACGCAGATGTCATGCGGCAGCGGCAGCGGATCTACATGGCCCGAGTAATAATGGATGCCGCTGGGCTTCTGTGACCCTTAGACCCTAAATCCTGTTCGAGTGTGATTGGCAAAAAACCCTAGATCCAATCTGTGAGACTCTTTACCCGAAGCCCTCTAAACTGCCCTAAACCCCTAAATATCTAAACCCCTAAGCCCTAAACCCTAAACCCCTCATCTCGAAATTCTAAGCCCTAAAATGCGAGAAAGCCTTGCCTGCCTTGTGAGGGCAGGAACTTCACTTCAGAACCCTGGAGCCCCAGAGCTTAAAAGCCGTCAACCCCAAAGCCACAGGGCTGTATAGGGTTTAGGGTTTAGGGTTTAGGGTTTAGGGTTTAGGGTAGGGTTTAGGGAAATCTTCCATCTGAAAAGTCGGTATGTGATGTGAGTTTTAGCGATTTTCTATTGGCGCCTGGCTCCGGGCTGCGGAAGCCGTACACTGTAGCACAGAAATCCTAAGCCCTTAGCGCTTTCAAGGGGAAACTCCAAGCAAATAGATTGCTAAAGCCACCCCGGAGTGTTGGAACCAGCTTTATTGGGGAAATCCATATGAGGATATTTTACTAAACCTTGAACCCAAAACTCCTGAACCTTAAACCCCTAGGGCTTAGGGGGCTTAGGGTTCAGCCCTAAGCCTTAAAGCTCCCAAGCCCTACCTCCAACACCCCACCACCTGAAGATTACTCCCTGTATGAACCCTTCAAATCGGAACACATTTCCCTCACTCCTGCATTCCCCCCACAACCTACCTAATGCCCGAAACGCTCCAAAATATCGTGAGGTTTGCCAGTTCGGGGTATTGTTCTTTCCATTCCGACCCTGTGAGACGGAAATGCTTCTACAGTTTTGGGTCTGACGAATCAGTACGCTTTTCCTTTTACGCTCCGCCTTACGTATGCTATAATATATAACGTGTCAGGACCCTATTTTACATGTTCATGGCTGTGTATTAGACCCTAAAGCTTTTGCTAAGGTCGGCATTGTTGTCGTTATCTCGCTGAATGCACTGGCCATTGGAATCAGCCTGCTGGCTCTGGCTGTACAGGGTTTTATAGGGTTGAATAGGGTTCGATAGGTCTGCAAAGCTTCTTATGTAGGGGCCCAGAGGATTACCTATACTATTTTGGGGACTCCTTATTATAATTATGGTATAATATACCCCAAAACCCTGTTCTAAGTATTGAGGCCCCCTTTATTATGCATACAGCTTCGGGGATCGGAATTCGGCTCGGGATGTGGGGATGGGGAGTAGCGGAAGGGTTTTAGCCGAAGCTTACAATGTATGATTTACTATAATGCATACGGATAGACTATATAATTCAAGACGTGATATTACACATTACACACACATGTATATATATATATATATAAATACATACCTACAGATAGATAGCATAAGCGTTGAGGGTTTAGGTTCAAGGTAGAGCCACTGCCTGCACCGCAAGCGCCGAAGTCGAGAAGCAGCATGGCACACCGAACACCTCAAGTAAGCACCAGGCCCTAAACTTGAACCAGCAGCAGCAACAGACGTGGCATTCGGATTGAAGAGTTTAATTTTTGATTAATTACATGACAAGTAAACTGAATAGCGGTAACAGTTATGGCGGATTAACAAGACTAATTGCGAACAGCTTTGGCCTCAGACGTGGGAGCTTGTTCGGCACCAGGGGCTCCCTTAAGGGTGCCTTTCGCCTTTCTTCGGGCCTTGGCTTCCTCGGTCAGCGGAAAAATCACGCTTTGTTTCTGCTCTTCCTTTATGCCTCTAACTTATATTTTGATAGCTGTTGTTATCCCTTCGGGCTTTTCCTGTCTTCGCCGAGTTGTGAAGTGGGGAATTGTGCCTGGTTGTTGCGATTAGTTGTATGGTCTTCGAAAGCACACCCAAAATTCGCACAGTTGTTCAAGCCCAGATCCCGCCCCGATAAAGACGTAAGGATAGATAGGGGGTGGTTCAATCGTAGACCCTGCATGCAAGCATCCTTCTTGCGACCCTTCAACCCTGAACCCTGGAACCCTGAACCCTGGAAGCCTGAACCCTAATTCTGAAACTCAGGTGCGGATGCCGCCGCGTCCGACCGGGCACTATGGCAGGTGATGGAGCTGGTTTTCGTTGGCATCTACTTGCTGGACCCTGTGCTTAGGTTCTAGGGCGTGAGGGTTTCAAGATGTTTACATGTGTTTGCCCTGGCGTCTTGAATGCGTTTGGAGTCTTCGAGTCTGTGTGTGACAACTCGTGCTCAGCGATCATGGCATGCGTGCTCCTCAGTCAATACGATGGAGGGGTGGATGAAACGGTCATTGAGAATGGGGTGGGGGTGTCAGACAAGGTCCCCAAAATGCAGAGACCCCTGAAAGAGAGCAAGTCACCCTGAGCCAACTTGGAGGAGTGCATCGTGAAGCTTGCCTTTCTAGACGGATGGCAGTACTTCGTTGGAGCCGATCGCAGTGGCCTCCTCAGACTCTTATGGCAGCGATCTATCCTGAGCCCTTTGCTGCCCCGAGCCTCCAACCCGAAGCCTAAGCCCTCAAGCTAAGCCCCTAAACCTAAACCCTTAAACCCTAAACCTTAAACCCTAAGCCCTTAAACCCAAAGCCCTTAAACCCTAAGCCCTAAAACCCAAAACCCTTAAACCCTAAACCCTAGACCCTAAACCCGTAAGGGAAAAGAACTCCTTTGTGGCTCCGGAGGCTGGAATATCTTCGACTTCACATGCTTAATCATCTCCATGATCGAGCTTACGATCTCCTACATCACGCAAGCCGTCGAAGGAGGAGGCAGGGCTTAGGATTGAGGATTTGGGGCTCAGGGTTGAGGGTTTGGCATGGAAGCGCGCAGAGGCGAGAGTCTCTTGAGAGGCCGTGTCGCGCCGCATAAGGCGGCCACGCCCATCACTTTCAGGGTTTCGGCCTAGACACTGCGCTTTTTTCGCTTTGTTTTCTCTGTTGGAACCCAGAACTTGAACTTTGGGGTTTAGGGTTTAGGGTTTAGGATTTAGCGTTTAAGGGTTTAGGCCGCCAGACGGCTTCAGAGTAGGAGCAGGGCAGGGGCACTTTTTTGGGGGCTCCCAAAACAGCCAGAGCCCTAGGGGTTTAGGGTTTAGGGTTTAGGGTTTAGGGCTCCCAAAACAGCCAGAGCTACTGTGATGATTTTGGCAAGGGGCCGGTGCTGGTGCCGGGCGTACTGATCGGCATTTCGCCCTTGATTGCGAGGGGCTGCAGCGCCCCCCCCCACCCACAGTAGATGGGCGGCCTACGCCTCGAGTTTAGGGTTGAGGGTCTAGAAAAAAGGGCGCTCGCAAGTGCATTTGGAAGTTTCCAGAAAGCTTGGCGACCTTTGTTGGGGTCTTCCTAGTAGTGCTGGGGTCTTCCAAACCAGGATCCTAGGTTTTAGGGCTCTAATTCCAGGATTGTTCAGAAAATTGTTGTGCATATAATTAGTGCTGGGATTCCATCTGTTTATTTCCGTTTCTTCTGTACCAGGAATTGCTAACGCTTTAGATCTAGAGTTTCGGGCTCTGTTTTTTTTCAGCACGTGTCTTTGAGGTTTGCGGAGTTTGCAAAGTTTGAAACACTAGGGTTACTCCAGAAACGTTAGCCCTCAACCCTACGTAGGCCGTAGAGAAGTGTACCGAAACCCTGGAGTTTTGAATTCTATACCCCTCTGCCCTAAACCCCTAAACCCTAGACCCTCAAGTTCTGGCCCAGGACAAGAGGGCGAGCGAGGGGTGCTCAACTTGCTCAAGGCACACTCAGGGTTTAGGGTTTCGGGCTTCAGTTCAGGAAGAATCGGCTTGGTTTACTGTTTACTGGATGATTTCCGTATGTAGGTCCTTCAAAAAGTTTGGGTTCAGGTCGGCTTTTCCCGCAACTCGAAGCCATTTGTTGGAGAACCTTACGCCAGTCTAGGGTAGGGTTCAGGTTTAAGCCCTGATGCCCGTTGAGGGTTTGAGTGTCGTTCCGCCCCAAATCAAAAAGAAGCTTGCTTGCCGTGGCCGGCAGAAAGGCCAATTGGTTGCTGTAACATCCTTATCCTGTTTAGCTCCTATTCTCCGGCTCAAAAGATGTATGGTATAACCCCTACGGCGATAGTCTAATTATGCAGCCTTTTTGGTAGACTTTTGGATCCTACACTGCAGACAGTCTTTCTGGTTCCGGGCTCTTTAGCTTGTAAGCTAGAGATCTTTGTTTCAGGATCAGGGCTGCCATGCTTCAGAGACTAAGGGCCTATGCCATAGACAGTTTAGGGTTTAGGGTTTAGGGTACGTCGTAAGGCTTTTATTCGTTGGTCTCTGACGGCTTTATAGTTTTTTGTTGTAGGGGTCTTTCCTGAGGGTTTTTATAGGCTTTTAGATGCCTCAAAGCCTCAGCCCTGAAGCCAAGGTGCTGCGGCTGGCTCGTTTGGCCCGCCTCGTCCGTGTGATGCGGTATAAGATATTCAGGGACGCCTGGCTTGATTGGAGAGATCTCCGCAGAATTTAGGGATTTCGACTTGAGGGTTCAGGGTTTACGGTGCGAGCAGTTGATTGCTAATATGTAGGATTCACAAAGAGCTCGTGACCCAAGAATCATAGATAGCATTGGTATTAATGAGAATTTGCATGTGAAGTCTGCCGGCCTGCCTGTTTGTGCGTCTGTGCAGGGTGGTCAAGGATCGAGGATCAGTACTCAGTGCAGTCTCACGTGTTCCTTTTCAGAATAGTATCCCCTTGTTGTCCGCATCATCGCTATAGTAACTATAGTATATTTTGCCCCAAAGCTTCCCCAAAGCCTATTCTACCTATCACGGGCCCCATATTATACGCCTGCTAAGGAGTTGAAGCTGATGGCCCTTGGACTATTCAGCGGCTTGCAAGCACTCTTCTGGGCGTGCCTTGGCCTAAACCTTACACTTACACCCTAGAACCCTGCAGTGCGGGCTCGTCCTTGCTAAGTGGGAGGGGAAAAAACTTTAAAACCCAAAAAGCCTAAACCTTAAGCCCTAAACCCTCGACTCAGCGACGTGGTTTGAAGCAGTTGGCACAGCATGTCGGAGCATTGGGGGGTTGGGGAAGGGTGGCAGACACCGTGTACAGAAGTCTGATAGTAGGGTTTAGGGTTTAGGGTTTTGGGGTTTAGGGGGTTTGGGGAGTTATCCAATAGACATGGTGATTTTGGATTCATAAGTATTAGTGGTACTAGTTGCTAGTACTAGCAATAGTAATAGTAATAGAACTAGCATTCCGAAGGGTAATGTCATAGTGCTAGGCCTACTAATCCCAATCGATATGGTAATAGAAATAGTACGTAGTAGAGGTCTGATAGACATCGCAATAGATACCGAAATTGTGATTTTAGTTTTAATGTGAATAGGAACAGGACAAGCAGTAGGAATTGCGATAGCATGAGCAATAGCAACAGCAACGGCAGTAACAGAAACAGAAGCTTTAGCAGTAGCAGCCGTCGTCGTGACAATAACCAGGGCCGGCGTGGTGGTCGCGGTGGTGGTTGTGGCGGCGGCGGTGGTGGTGTTAGCTGTTAGCTGCCAACAGTTGGCAGCAGCAGCCGCAGCAGCAGCAGCAGCCGCCGCCGC